CCCCCCCCCCCCCCCCAAACCTCACCGTCTCCAGCTCAGTTCCAAACACTGTAGTACAAACTGACATAAATGCAAGCACCAAATACGGACGCACAAGCACACATACACATACCCACTGGATGCTGACAGATGGGTTTTTATTTTTGGCTGTAAATTTTCTCTGCTGGCAGTTCAGACACATACGCACACATATATAAACAAAATATGTATACACACCCAGACACACACACACACACACACACACACACACACACACACACATATACAGTGACCTTCTCTCTGCTGAGTAGGCAAAGAGTCAGGGGTCACTGCCTGCTGTCAGCCTGTCAGAGAGAGGAGGGGAGAGGGGAAGTGAGAAGAGGCAGAGGAAGAGCAAACGTGGTCGGAGGAATGTACAGAATGGAGCTCCTCCGCCTCATCATTCAATAAAGACTAATGCAATCAGAGGCGGCCCATATCTGTCACGGTTAATGTTGGCTGATAGAGTCGCAGCAATTTAAAATGCTCATGCTATAATGCATTTCCCTGTGCCTCTTACAGACTGATGATGCATCACATCACGCCTTGATGGCTCTTGCAGAAACAGATAACCTGCTCTGCAGCATGCTGAATGAGGCCTCCATTATGCCTGGCCACTTTGCTCATTTTTATCTTAATCGGCTACAAAGACGTTTCATTCCGAAATCCATTCAAAAAAAAAAAAGTTACCTGAAGTTCACTGCTCAGGCTTTCAGAATTATTGCACATAATTATATCCTCTGTTGTGATTTCGTCAAGCAAAAGCAATGCTCACACAAAGGCGTCAAAGGATATCTGTCACTTTAGCGATCGCTTTCTCAAAATGGATTATATATTTCCTTCAAACGTGGATATATTCTCAGGATACGTTTTCTGCAAACATTGACATGATCAAGTCTTCTCATGAAAGAGTCATGAAAGTGTTATATTATTAAAACAAGAAGGGGAAAAAAGTGATTTGATTCTTTCAACCTGTTTCCTAAATAAATCAATTTCTTTCAAGAATCTAATCATATATATAAATATATATATATATGTCTTTTTTTTACATGGTGCAATGATGTGATTCATTCCTTCTTTTCTTTCTGTAAATCCTTGAAAATCACTTTATTTTTTGCAATATTTTTACTTCAGAATGAACATCTCACGGGGATAAATCGCTGCATGTGATTTTTACCTTTTCTTTGTCGATGTTTCTCTACACTGAGAACGTGTTACCAGAATTTACTGTGGTGTTTTTCATTGCACGGGGAAGAGATGGAAGAACGTTATTGTTTGATAATGCCATTTGGTCCAAAAGGTCAGCCTGGCCCGGGGATGGGGGCGAGAGAGAGAGGGGGGGAGGGAGTAAAGTTTAAAGGGGCTTGAGGAGTGGTGGTGGTCAGTCCAATTGGAAACCAGGTGCTGATGTTGAGATAGTTTCCATAGTAACTCCTCCTCCTCCTCCTCCCAGTCTCATTCTCCCCACTTCCCTCTCTAACTATCCCCTCTCACATAAAAGCGCACTCGGAACAAGATGCACAACTGCATGCTTATACCAGCTCTGGTCTCTGCGGATGAACCCATTTCACTCCAATATCTGTTGCTCAAATCAATTTGAGCATTCATGTCCCAGCTGTGTGGTCATATAATATACCGTGGCTCAACTATTAAAGCTGCCTCTCTACCAGTCGCCTGCCTTGCTGGAGCAAATATATATATATATAAGCAAATAGCTCATAACACCCAATAGCCGGTGCAGACAAACACACACGTACAAACACAGGAGTGTTGTTAATGTGTGTAGTTGATGTCTACACACAGTTATTTGCTGAATGCTGCTCCATTCATTGTTTCTTTAGCGTGAATCTTGAATCAGCATCTCCGATCAGGTCAGGGCTGTTCTTTCTACAGGAGGCCCCATCCTTCCGTTGCCAGTTGTTTTTTTTACCAGCTCTATACACTCCTCCTACAGCTCCAGCACTCGATGAAGGTGAGTGTTAAAGCAGAGTAAAAGGAGTAAAGCAGATGTGCTGGCCAGTCAGACACAGACATATACAGATTGAGGAAGAGAGAGAGAGAAAGAAAAAAAAAAACAGGGCAGCAGCAGCTGGCCCAGGGAGCCCATGGAGAACACCTCTGAGCTGGGCTCGACACAGCTGGAGTCCCTCCCTGGGAAAGGCAAAAAGCCCTGTGTGTGTGTGTGTGTGTGTGTGTGTGTGTGTGTGTGTGTGTGTGTATCTGCATGTGTGTTTGCTACTGATTTTGTGTAGCATGAATGTAAATATACGATACACCTGCATACCTGACCACACATACAGTGCAGCACACAAATCACTAATAAACCTCTGAGATCTCAAACACAGTGGACGCTTCCTCTCTAGGAAGATTATATGCACACGATTTTGGAATTTGGCTGCAGGGATTTCTTCCCATTCAGGTCAAAGTTCACCCCAAAGGTGTTAGTTATGGGGTTGAGGCTCTCTGCATGCCAGTTAAGCTCTTGCACACCTAACTGAGACAATCATTTCGTGATGGACCTGATTTGTGTGCACATGGGCATAGTCATGATGAAAAAGGAAAAGGACTTCCCCATACTGCTGCAACAATAGAGGCACACGATTTTCTAAAATATAATTGTCAAATTAAGATTTCCCTTTATTTGAGCTAAAGGGTCTTGCCAAACGACCTATACAAGAGTACTGTGTCCATATGTTTTTTGCCGGTGTATTTGTCCATCCAGACCCGTGTTAATGCCTTGTCAGATAAATATAAGTGTATGTTCTGTATATGTGTGTGCGGAACAGAGTGAGAGAGATTTGTAAATTGAGAGGGTCCTGTTTCCTTTTCATATCGTCCTTCCCCCCCCCCACGCTTCACTGAATCACTGACTTCCTTACATTCGCTCGTGTAGCACACGAGAGGTAAAGGCCATAGTCACTGTCACTCACAGATTTAATCATTCGGATCTACCCCGGTTCTCGCCTTATTTTCTGCCTCCGGTAATTGCGTTTCTGTTTCGTGCAGGCGGTGAGTGCGCGCTGTCCAAGGTGCTGCAGCAGCGCGCGGCCCCGCCCATCCCCTCTACCTCACTCTCTCTCTCACACACACGCATACACACTCTTTCTCTCTCTCGCGCGACCACGTGACTTTCCCTCTGCCGAGTCTCGCGGAGAGCATCAGACTGCACCTTTTCCTCCTCAAGAGGACGGAGAGAGAGAAGAGAGAGAGACATTGAGTCTGACAGAGAGAGAGCGCGCGAGAGAAGGAAGGAAAGCTAGAGAGAAAGGGAGATTGAGAGAGAGAGAGAGAGAGAGAGAGAGAGAGAGAGAGAGAGAGAGAGCAATAGCACCTTGTCGCCTGGAGGCGAGCCTGTGATAATTTTGTCCCTGTCCGGTAGACCGGCTCTGTCTACCACCAGGCGCGCGGGTGCTCTCCCCTCTCTCGCGGCTTTGAGATTCTCCCCAAATGGGAAGGGAAATCGATGAGACGCGCGCCACACTGTTGCCACGGAACCAAAGGATGTGCGTGAGGTAAGTCGGTTTTCTAGCCTATTTATGCCCGCATATGGGGAAAACCGCTGTCGGTTTGTTGTTGTTTTTTTTGTATTAACCGGGGCGAGGCGGTCACATCACCGTTACAGGTTGTGATGTCAATTAAAACAGTAACCGTGTAAAATAAAATACTTGAATACCGTGGTACCGGTTAGTTAAGTGTTGAGGTGCAGGTGATGAGACTGAACCCCCCGCTGTGCTGGAGTAACGGTGCGCGTTGGAGAAAAAATGGAGAGGAGGTATATGGCCGCAAATTGACAATCGATATTTCAACCGCATTCATTCACCCCGTCTATCAATAACTGTGAATTCTCGCCGTTTTTCACCTTTCAAAGATTTACGGAGAAGAAACTGTGTGCAGCCTATACCGTGTGTGTGTGTAGCCTCTACATTTCCAGCCAACGTCTGCTATGTTCAGTGTGAACGTGTTCAGTTATTAGAAATGAGCTCCGAAGCCGTTAATTCGATAAAGCCACGCGGTTTGAGTCATCCGCCGCAGCGCGCGGTGCTGCTCCCGCTCTTTGTGATGGAGCTATAACAGCATCCTTGACTGGGGCGCGAGGTGGCCACCGTTAACCGTTATTAATTAATTTACAATAAAAAAATAAATCGCGTTTAAGGCATCTCGTTCAGAATATGGTTAAATGTCAGATGTAATTAAAAAAACATGTGCTTTGTGACGTTAAGGGAGTCGCAGGTATGCCACCTTATAAAATCTCCTGCGGCATGATGGGAGATCTACTGAGGAGGTGCTGTTTGTGTACGTGTATGTCAATGTGTATGCGCGTGCTTACACTGTAGGCCTATATATGTTGAGCTTAAGTCATTGATGTATGGGCTGTGTAGGAATAAAACAAAATCTAGATTTTATTATTTGTCTTGATTTGGGCCTTTTAAATGTATAATGTGACAATGTGATGTATCTGTGTGTGAGTGTGTGTGTGTGTGAGAGAGCATAAAATGCATGAGAGAGAGTAATTTGAGAATAAGAGCGGGCTGACGCTGGTGTGTGTGTGTGTGTGTGTGTGTGTGTGTGTGTGTGTGTGTGTGTG